CGGGCCGAGTACACTACCCTGAATGACTCCACTCCTCACACGTGTGGGGTTGGAGATGGTATTGGAAATCTTAACTCGTTGTGTGCGAGTGCCCAAATAAGAGGATATAAAATTCAAAAGTTTGCCACTTATTCCGAAAGAAGGCAGTTTCAAGAGAAGAAGAGCATGGTCAACACGATCACAAGCCTTAGTGAAATCGAAATATACTGTGTAAAGAGCAAAACCATTGTCCCTAGATTGGAGAACATACTCAAGGAAAGAGAGTTGACAGGTGTCACAAGATCGAGCTTTGAGGAATCCATGCTGAGCAACACTCAATAAGTTATTCACTGTTAAGTGACACATCATCTTATCCTTGATCAATGTCTCTAACATCTTCGAAACTGCGGGGAGGGTGTTTATTGGCCGAAAGTCATCGAATGATGTAGATTTGCCGTGCTTAGGAATGGGCACAATGTGTGATTCCTTCCACAAGGTAGGATAAGTTTCACTTTCAAGAGCAAGATTAAACATCTTGCATAAGAGGGATGAGAAAATCGTATTTGCATCGGCTTTTAAAATGCTTACTGGGACACCATCAGGGCCTGGACTATAAGATTGACGAGAACGCCGAATCGCAACAGTCACATCCCACAGAGTGAAAGTTATAGTTTCTAGAACTGCCCCGGTCAATGGCTGGATGGTCGGAAGCGGAGTGGTCGAGTATTCAATAAGCGTTTTAGACAGGAAATCATTGAAGCTATCAGCGGTTAACTGGGCATCAACTATGGGATTTCCGAGAGCGTCTCGGAGGATGGGATTTCGCGTCTTTCTCTGAGTTCGTATTTTTCTAGAGAAAAGTTTCGAGACACTTAACGAATGGTTTTCGGTAAAAGTGGACCTCTTCGGCTAGCTGTTTTTCTTCAGACAATCTCTTAGCTCGATCAAAAATATCACAAATCAAGGGCAGAACAGAAACATCGTTCTGCAGATGGAAACGACGATAAAGCCTGCGCAATCTGCGACGGAAGGGTAAGGGTAGGAAAACCTCATCCCCAACATTAATAATTTTCTTACGCTGGACAAAACGAGAAATAAGCGGATCCAAAATTTCGTACAGATTTGCAGTGCAAACATTTACATCCGAACTAAGGAAGAAATCAGTCCTGTCGTAGGAATTAAGGTGTGTTAATAATTCGGTTTAGCGTGTTGATCGGAAATTGCGGACTGGAAAAGTTTTACGTTACAGAAAAAGGGTCAACAGATTGCCAACGTACGGAAAATCGCACTTAATAGCAAGTGCTACTGTTATTTAACTACGAAAAATAGAAAGAGATAGTACGGAAAGGAGTCATTACGAAGGTTTTTTACAAAATACGACTATTTTGCCAGACTGTCAAATAAAACTGGGAAAAATTATATCTCGTATTGAAAGGCGACTTTTAAAAGGGGCTCAATTAAAAAACAGGCATTAGTTGCTTAAGAATATCCAGATAAATGCAAAGCTTCACTTATCTTTGAAACTGAGCTGCGCGCCTTGACCTTGACCATGTGTTATTTTATAAAATGATCACTATCAGTGAGACACTACTCATAACAGCTAAATGCATTGTGGGCTTACGTTCACTGATAGAATATGTGGAGGAAGTATCACAGATAATTGCGAATACTCGAATTTCTAATATACTGGCCGAACCGCTCCGCATAACCTGACTGGCCGCGAGGACTCTAGATAGAGTTCTAACCTACAACTGAATGAACATGGTCCATACTGTGACCAAATCGTTTACCGACCTTGTACGCCAATTACTACCTCGGATAACAACCAACCTGAGAAAAAGTCCATGGCCTACTGACTGAGCGTTGAACTCAGTGCTTACTGACCAAGGACCTCTGGCTCCAAAGCCAACTTGTCAAAAGTTAGGGTTGGACTGTGACTGACTGGCGACAGGTAATGGACCGGAAGCCTTTTGTTCGGCCTCCATTCATGCTATAAGCCATTCTATTTTAAAGCAGACGGGTATTTAATCGAAACACAACAGAACTCGGAAAATCCTATCATAGTTGTCTGTTTATGAGCTATCTAGTGAATCGTCATACTCCGGCAACCTACTATAATCGGCAAACAAAATAGAGTTATGATCTTCCAGCACGAACAGTTTTTCTTGCATTTTTTGACCCTCCATCATCTTTCTAAAATTTCTAATGCATCTACCGGCTTCTGGTGGGTCTAACATGAAAGGAAAAGATGAACATGTCAGCAAAAGGCACGATCGAAAACTGAGGGACACAAACGCAGCAGCCGGTTGACACACAAACGCGCGAACGAGACGGTTCGACCGCCATTGCCGATGGTGTTTACCGTGTGCCTATATGAGGGTGGGCGTAGAGACGGCGACTCGCGCATTAACTAGCTTAAAGTTACAGTAAACTTGTGCTGCGCCTACCGCACTCCTCCTCTCCCACATGGTTTTGATGCCATGACAAGGTTAAGACGACCAGAAACTGGTACGGGCAGTTGGCGAGGTGTGTGCCTGTACCTAGGCATGCCCTCACACCTCATGTATGACATTTTTATGGGTGCGCAGTCCAATAATCCGTTCTGGACCCTGATCTGGTCTTCTGTTGGTCCAGCTCAACTCTGGCATGGCCTGTTGTCAGGTACATAACGTCAATACAGATACTTACGAGCATATATTTATTTTCATCTTGTCAACCATTGTGACTGTCGAGAAATCATCTTTTGACTTCCACAATTAGTGACTAGAACGTCGTAGCCCTGATGACACTGCCGAGGTTTGTTGGTAAGGCTTCAGAATTTGCATGGTGTGGTTTATGCAGAGAAACCTTGAATAATGAGAGAGGAATGAATACCTTTTTGCAAGGAAATCGAGGAAAGTAGGAACTGTACATTTGCTGTTATTTCGCTACATGTTCCGCGCGCTTAAGTGTGTACCTGCCTTACTTCGAGATAAAGACACAGTGAGCAGCAGATAAGGCTGTCGAAGGCCGTGCATAGATACATTTTCATCACCTCCAGAACAGTAAGCAGTAACCTGATGACTTAGGACACTGACGTAACGAGGCATATGTCAGAAATCAGAGATGCCATCAGAGACTGTCGATCGCAGTTCATCCGGTAAACAACCGGTGGCTAGCCGGCTGTCTGCTACACAGGCGAGTACAGCCCCAAACTGGTACTAGAGAGATGAGATCCCACAGTTTTTCAAATTTCAAAATATTCGTTTATGATATTTGATTTTTCGGGAATCCCGTGGACTCCTGAATAACCTAGTACACTCATGCATGAACGTGTCTATGTCTTAAACCTAAGATGCGCACTGAGTTTTTAATAAACACATAAGAAAATCTTAGATAGGCCAAGTTTATCAACAAGCACCAGTAACCCAATCGGGCTGGTGGAAATGCTAACGCTCACACTGTCAATAAAATGGAAAATCTAGATAAGATGCAAACGAAATGCAACAAACAAGGGACACCGACTGTTAATAAAAGCGCTGTAAACCTATAGCAGGGAGGAGCCATGAAGAGGGCGCGAAAAGGGTTACTTAAACCCAAAAGGTGGCCTAAAATAAGCAATCGAATTATTCTTTCGAGCACGAACGAGATACCAGTGGATACAAGGAAGGGCTCGTATGGGCTGCTGCCGGAGGTCACTTTAGTCAACAAACGCAAACAGATTACTATCTAGTTTTACCTGGGTCAGAAATATTGAGCGCCGTTAGGACCCCCGTAAAGACCAAAGGCCTTTTGTATAGAGCCAGTATGTAATCAGTTTGCTGATTCCTTAGATAATATTCATGCCTAAGCAGTTTTCATTGTTTGTCTTTGAAGACTACATAAACGTCTGCGTAGGAAATCAGCTAAGATTGCACGCTGGCAATTCTATTGTCAGCGGTGTTTATGCAACATGCTTTCTTAAGATCTACACTTTCCAAAGTATCACGTATTCCTTTAAGACCACCCCATCCCTCATATACTATAAAGTGGGAAGTTTAGGCCCTCCCAGGCGCCCACAAAACAAAGACTGCGTATAGCATAAACATATTCGGTCGTTTGGATGTAAATTTTTCGAAAACTTCGCTACCTAGACTAGGGATGTAGAATACGTCTACGATCGCATTCAAAATACGACCGGATAAACGCTGGACACAATAGACTGGATGTTTTAAGGGAAATATATAAGGTGCCTGTCGATAATAAAATTGTTTGTGGCTGGTAGTGATATCCTGTAGGCATTGCTTTGATAGTGCTAAGACGAAGGGCACCAAGATCTCCAGGCCGATCGCAGACTTTATTCGTGTGACGTTTTTTTACATCTTGTTAAAGCTTTCTTATGGGAAAAGAGGGTTTAGTAAGTTCATTGAGGATTCATTGATCGCTCAGTACGACCAGCAGAACAAGTGTTTTGGATAAAAACACTGTCCCTCTTCTCCTTTAGAAATTTAACGTTCCCTAAAAATGCTGGCACCTATTATACACTAATTCTGTGGATAAGAAGTATCGAAGACTTTGGTACAGAAACTGGTATGCATGGTGTTTTTCAAAAACAGACCGTGGTTTACTGCATCGATAACCTTGCTGATCTCGAGGGAGACGACCTTTGCATCTACAACGTTGAGCATCAGACGCAGGACTTCTGATGCCTCGTGAAAGGCTTGAGGTAGAAACATCCTTTAAGTAAACTATACCTTACGGAATTTCTATGAATTGTCAGTCATTGTAACAGTACGGATCCCCGTAGGCACATTGTCCGTGATCTTACTGAATGTACTGTGACGATTGACTGTTGTTTTTTTCCATCCACC